AGGCAATCAGCCGAAACCGCTGTAGTGATAAGTTAAAATAATTTTGTGGAAATTTTAAAACAAAGTTTCAGTGTTTTATTGTACATAAAATGAATTTCCATCAAGTACGGTCGATCCATCAAAATTTAAATTTATATACATTTTTTAATCAATAAATATCTAGAGATCGTTGTTGACTTTCTTCAGTGTAGTCTAAATAACAGCACACATTATGAATACTTTTGTATTCAGAAGGTAATATGGAGATCGAGTTTCCTCTCCTATTATATCTTAGTATAACTGTACAGCCAATATCATAAGGGGTGTCGTAAATATACTTTTAAATGATACGATTAGCAGAGCCGAATGAATATATTTCATGCGCTTTGAAGAAATATTTCACTATAAATAAACTATTGATTGAGCATCACATATAATGCACACACGTTCTAAAAATAATCCGTGTGTGTCACATGCAATGCACAGGACAGGTAAAGGGTTAATAATGATTGACATTAGGTTTTTCTAATACATAATATTGTTTTGTAAAAGTTTGATGAATAAAAATATTTAAAAAATTACAAAATGTTTTACTATTTTTTATATTTGGTTGGATAACAACTATCTATTGAGCATAACTTGTTTGTTCATAGATGGTTCGTAGCAAAACTATTTCAAAGCAAAGGTCCGCTTCAAAACTCGTTCGTTCTAACTTTTAATCTATTATTTTTATATAAAATGATGGTTTTTATTTTGTAATTCTTCGTTTCTTCATTGAGACCAGGATATTATTTTAAAAACAGAAGAATTTATTTTACTTAAGTTAGTAAGTCAGACACAATAAGTTTTTTACATTTCTGAAAATTTCGTTTAAGGTACCTACCGAGCGAGTTTTGCGTCTCAAACTACTCAAAAAATATACGCAACAGAAATAAAACAATTAAAAAAAGTGACACAAAAAATAAAATCGGACTGAGAAAGAAGTGATAATAAAAAAGTACAACAAAGGTATCCATATTATCCAAAATTCGAAATATAAAACTAGACTTCTACAGACGCTTCAACGGCATGGACCCAGAGAGAAAAATAAACCAGGTAGTATACTTTATTTCCAAAGGAAACTCAAATCCAGTAGTTGGCTGTATACAATGTATTAAAAAAAAATAAAAAAAAACCCATCGGGCTACATCACAGAATGTTTTAAACCCTTTAATTGAACTTTTAAGAAATGAAAGACAGATATTATCGAGCACAGTTTTATTAATTAAATTTTGCCCAAGTACATTTGCTTCCTAGAGCAACTTCAGGGGCATTTCGTCAATTTTGGCCTATCCAACAATCACAGAATGTCATGAACATAAAGTTGTACATAACACCACACTACACAAACAGTTTAACCTGGGACCGCCCTTGGGGTCCACATGTAGAACACTATATTTTCAAGCCTCTCATATTTTATGGTTTTTAAATGAAGGGGATATCACTGTATTGGCACGTTTTATTTCAATTGTTAAAATGGATAACCTTATCGATGTTCAAGCACTAAAGGATATTTTGAGGTAGGCTCTGAGTTATTACTTTAACTTTGTTTTATTACGTTACTAACAGCTGAAAGTTTATAAGAATATACAGTTTGATGAACTTATGTTTGTGCAAGTTGCATTTATTTGAAACTTTTTCATGCCGTACCCATATGGACCCCGTGGGCACCTAAACTTTTGTTTTGTTTCAGTCCTGGATTTTCGCTACAGGAAGCAATAGAGCTTATTTTTAAAAATGATGATAATATAGCCCTAGAAAAATCTTTGTTGAACCTCCACCAAGTAATGTACTTACTGATGAAGAATCTGGAGACGAGGATGAAGGCGGAACTTTTCTACATTTACCTGGCAAGCAACTTGTAGCACCTGCAGAGCTCGTTTTTACTACGGTCGCATTGGTGGTAATTCAGATGATGCTATTCAAGAACTTTCAACCATTTCTTCATGTGTTTCTCATCAGTTTACACCAGGCCTCAGTAGCTCTTCAGTTACAAACGACAATACTTATAATTATTTAGAAAATTTTGAACGAAATATAAATGAAATTCCAGAATTTATTGGTTCTTAGTTGGACTATCAAAGAGATAATGTATAAAACGTAGAATATATTAAAGGTGATATATTGAAATATGTAAAAGGAGATTTTCCTACATCAAGTTATGAATTTTTCAAAAATAAAACCCCCATCGAAGTATTTGAAATGTTTTTTACCAACGAAATTATTGAACGCTTGGCTCAGGAAACTACTAAATATACAGCTTTTAAAAATCAAAAGAATCTAAATATTACACATGATGAAATAAAATGCTTCATAGAAAACCTTATTTTGAGTGGTTACAATTCAGTCCCATCTAAACGTCACTATTACACTAAGTCCGAAGATATTAGAAATGACTTGGTATCGAAAGCTATGAGAAGAAATAGATTCCTGTCCATCATGAAGTTCATTCACTGTTTCGACAACACTAAACTGGATATGACCGACAAGTTTGCGAAAATTAGACCTCTAATGAATATGATAAAAAAAAGGTTCCTGGAACTTTTTGTGCCGAAAGAAAATATAAACTTCGACAAAAGTATGATAAAGTATTTTGGAAAAACATAGCACTAAAAAATTCGTTAAAAGAAAACCGATCCGGTTTGGCTATAAGGCTTGGTGTATTAAACACAAAAGAAGGTTTCTGTGTGATACTTGATATGTATCAAGGGAAAAATGCTACAATTCCTGATGCTTATAGCACACGTTTTGGAAAGGCTGCTTCGCCCTTTGTTAAACTTTTAAGTCAATTTGGAAGTTACCATATCATTTTTACTTTGACGATCTCTTTACTTCAGTACATTTATTCAACTTCTTTAGATTTAGAGGCTACCACGACTACTGGAACAATGATAAGTAACAGAATTCCTATAGAAGTAAGAAAATTGAATGCTCCTGTTGAAAAATCGAAACAGCTGGTTAAAGAAAGAGGAACAACAAAACAATCAAAACGTAAAAAATTCACAGGTACTTGACAAATATTAAAACAGAGGACAATTCTGTAGCCATAAAATAAAATCAGGTATATTTTTTGTTAGATGGAAAGACAACGACGTTGTGTCAGTAGTTTCAACATGGTCTTCAACCTGTACGCAATGTAAAGAGATATTCCAAGGAGCAACATAAAAATATTCAAGTACCGCAGCCGTTTGTGATAGGAAAATATAATGAGTATATAGGGGAACAGACCAAATGGACCGAAATTTAATTGAGTATAGGATAAACATACGAAAAAAAAAGTGGTGTGGAATCCCTTTACATATCTTATTGATTTGTGTGTCATTAATGCTTGGTTAATGTATCGCCATCAAGACCCAAAAATGTCCAGTTAACATTTAGGCGCACTTTAGTACAAGGATATTTGACAAAATACCAAACTATTACTTTACGACCAGGACCAAATCTAATCCCCTAAGCTAACTCGAGAAAAGTAATACCTGACATACGATACGATAACATTGGACATTTGGTAGATTCTACTAAAGATGGTAGAAGACGAAGATGTGGGTTAGAAAGTTGTAAAAGTAAAGTGAGAACAATATGCAACAAATGTAATGTTGGATTATGTGTACAATTTTTTGTAACCTATCACACTAAAAAATGAATTTAGTTTTTATACTTAGTTTGTACTTTTTTATACTTGTATTTATAGGTTTTTTATTCAATAAAAATGCATTAATTGTTTTATCGTATTTGTTCTATGATTTAATAGGTTTATTCTTTTAATGCCCACATGGTCCATATGGATACGGGGTAAATTCAATATTTAGCATTGTCAAAATTTTTTTTAAATATTTTTCTAGTGTTTTCTAAACAATTTTTAGCGGTTTTTGAAAAAAAAAATGCAAACATACACAAAAAAAAATAATTAAGGGCGTTGCTAGGTTAAAATTATTTAAAATAGGCGAAGCTAAATTATGGTCGGCAACAGGAGAGAGAACATTCTGAACGAAATGCTCCTGAAGATGCTCTAATAAGCGAAAGTACTTGGGCAAGATTAAATTAATAAAACAGTGCTCGATATCTGCCTTTCATTTAATCAAAGTTCATTTATTCGAGCATTCAACCTTATATCAACCCTTTAAATGTTGTTTGATTAACTTTGAGTTACATTTTGATAATTACTTTATTCAGTACGTTAAAAAAAGAAAGCGAAGATTGAAAAATGTCACTTCATAGCTATGCGACGGAAAAATTGAAAACACAACAACAGAATTAATATTAAAAACCAGTAAAACTTGAGTACAAGAATATAAAATAAACGACTATGAAATCTACCTGTTTGAAAAATAATATAAGGAGTTTTAAAAAGAAAAAAGATTTAAATAATGTCAAAAAAAGCTTTTAAAAGTGAAGACATTTTGTAAAAAAATTACATTAATCTGTATATTTACTAATTTAGAGATAACTACATCAATTAAATAAAATGTCACAAAGAAATGGCATCAAGTATTAATCGGTTTGCTGGAAACGAGTTTTAGTCAGTTTCGGTAATGGGATTAAACAAAGAAGATATATCATAATTATTAACACAGTTAAAGTTACAATGCCTTTACATGTATAATGCCATATTAAAAAAAAGCGATGAAGTTAAAGTGGTGTTATTATTAAAGTAGAATACACCCACTCTTAAAAGAATTAGCCAATAAACTGATAATAATTGGAACAAAAACTAATGAAATATTATGATATATTAATTAAATTTTTATATTCAAGTAATGTATAAGAATAAAATTCAAAACAAAGAAATTAAAATATTCTAAAACGTTTTTATATTTTTTACCTAGTGCTAAAATAACTGACACCAATATACACTGTATCATAGTAGCAAACGAAATCAAAAATTATTTTAAATTTACTTAATATTTATCGAAAATAAAGCAATAAAATCCATTTTATATCATACCTAATTAAATATTGAGTTATAAAATTTATCAACTTACCACAAGTTATTGAAAATAAAATGTATAAACAAACACCCACGGTAATTCGCTGCATAATTTTATCGGCACTAGTATTTCCTGAGACACTATTTACCCAACACTACTTTTCTTTCCGACAAGATTGAATCTTTTGAACGGTGTTAAAACCCGGCAAGAATTTTATTCATAATTTTCGGGTAGTTGCCTGACGTCACTAAGAGAATTATCATCAAAGGAAAAAGAATTTCGCGGTAAATGTTTCAATAAAATGTTGTAAAGGTTGTTTTGCACGCTGCGTAGCGTAAATCATGATAGGTATGAATAATATTGAAATCGAAAGTCTAATTTTTATCTATTGGTGATTACCCACTTCCATGATCTGCAATGTTTTGTTTCCGAATAAAGAAATTCTCAATTTTTCATTACCGGTGTAAATGCTATCAACTACCAGGTGAGATCTTTATATTTCGAATTATATTATTTCGAATTATATATGTGACATATTAAGAAACTATTTGCTATTAGTTTCGTGTTTAAGCCATCATTGTAAAAAAATACATAAGATAGACTGTCAAAAATAACCATTGATGCAAAAAAATGAACGTGAATAAATCAATACATCACCTTAGACGAATTTGAAATATACAGACAAGGATCAGGATCGCGAGTAGGAACTCTTTAAGTTTTTGAAGATAGTCTTATCAGGGAAAATGAATCAATCCCTGCCCTCCGCAGATTCCGGGGGTTTCCTGACCGGAAAACTAGTACCTGTTTAGGGTACCTTGTCCAGGGTTACGGCAGCCACGGCGGAGAAGTAAAACTTCGATATGGTGCGGATGGCGTAAGTGACAACCCTCGATTTTAGGGTTGATATAGAATCAAGTCAAATACTTGCCAACGGTTTCAGATCGAGGAGCTGATAGATGTAAGGGCACTCTTTTGTCCTGAGATAAAGAAATCTATCTCGAAGGCGGATGAACCAAAGAATGGTCAATGACATAAGGATGCAGAAGGCAACGGGGATCTACTTATTTAAAGAGTGGTAGAGTACCCTAGAAATCGTCATGGCAGTCAGTGACAAGCATCACCGTACTAATCATGGTTCTCGGATGCCAAGATTTGGCAGAGGGAGAAATAACAATGATGACATCTTCTCAGGTCGTTAACAAACGAAATCCCTGCGTACTAAAAATACAAAATTCAACTTTTAAAATACCGACATGGAATGTTAGAATGTATGTATGAGCCTGGTAAACTAAGGAACATAGAACAAGAAATGATGCGACTTAAGATCGACATATTGGGAATAAGGGACACAAGACAGCTCGACTCCGGCGAAATAAGTACAACCAATGGTCGACTTTTGTACTCTAGTAGTACCCACAGGCAACATCGGTATGGAGTAGCAATTAATGTTAGTAAAAAAGTTGCAAAATCAGTTGTAGGCTTTATACCAATGTCAGAAAGAATTATGATAATACAAATGATGACAACACATGGGAAATTAAACCTTATTCAGATTTATGCGCCAAAACGGACGAATAAAAAACAGACCTACAAAAACCTACAAATACATCTAGAGATACAACTGTAGTTATGGGTAATTTTAACGCCAAAGTTGGAAAAGCAAGATGTGAATCTACTGTAGGACCATATGGACTCGGTGTTCGAAATGAGAGAGGAGAACGCCTTAAAGAATTCTGCCTAGAACATAATCTTGCGGTAATGAATACTTTCTTCAAACTACACTTAAAAATCGCCAGCTGACAAGGTCGATAAAATCGTTAGAAACCAAATTGTCTATATTTTATTAAACGACAGATACCGAAACGCAATACAGTCAGCCAAAGAGTACTCAGGTACAGACGTGGCATCGGAGCACAATCCCTTGTAGCAAAATTCCAACTTCACTTAAAAAACATACAAAAAAGCTACAAAAGTGATAAACTAAACATACAAAAATTAAAATTAGAAGACGACTAAGAAAAACTAAAACAAGAAATTACTGCAAACCTAGAACCCACACCGGAATCAATTGAGGGTGATATAGAACAACAGTGGAAATTCTTTAAAAATGAAATTATCGAACCAGGTCACAGAAAACTCAACAACCAGATGCAAAAAAGGAGATTGGATGGCAGAAGAAATCTTGGAATTGATGAAGGACAGAAAAAGGCAAAAAATATAAACATAACTCAGTATCAACAGCTCCATAATGAAATAAGAAGAAAAATAAGAGAAGCTAAAAAGACTTATAAATGCCAAGAAATAGAAGACTTAATCTCCATAAGAAAGTTAAAGAATTGGCTGGGCTAGCAAAACAAAAAAGAGCATATTATTGGACAAACAAAGATGGGAATAATGTATGGAGGTATATCTCATATATATGTCCATATACAGGACAATATATATGAGGATAATCAGAGTAGACGAGGAACCCGAAATAACAAAGTCAGAAATTATGCATGCAGTAAAGTCCATGAAAAATAATAAAGCTGCTGGTCCAGATGAAATACCAAGTGAATTGCTTAAACTGGTCAATGAAAAAAACATATATCTTTTAGTCCAACTACTAAACACAATATATTTCACAGGAATCATTCCACGTGAAATGCTGACATCAACTTTATCGAATGATCAGTCTGATGTCACATACCTTAAAAACCCTGCTAAAAATCATATATAATGGAATACACTCTAAGCTGGAGATGAATATTAGTGATGATTAGAGGCACAAGAGAGGCACTATTTTCTTTTAATGTGCTGACCCAAATGTTTTTGTGTTATTTGTAAAAATATCCTTTTATGTAATATATTTATTTAAAATTTTAAATGTATCTTTTACCATATTTATGACAATGTTCTTCACTATTAGGTCCAACTGAACATTTTCAATGTAATTTTTAGATGTTAACTTCCACCACTTGTTCTAAATAAGTTTTCCATTTAGGTGCTTATGAAGCTGACAGCCTATCACCGAAAATTTCACATTTCGAATAAAGTTCTAGACCAAACTGGCCTATACCATCTTTAGCCAATCCTTGACTTGACGCTTTGCCGAAAGTTACCTACCAAAGTATATATATATATATATATATATATATATATATATATATATATATATTGTTATACTTCTTCTTTCCCAACCAATGAAAAATAAATAAAAAGATCCATCGGAATAAAATTTTAAAGATATCAGTATAAACAAATTGTATATAGTAATTTAGATAAGAATAGAAATTTGTTTGGCTAACGACCTTTTCCGTTTCCAACAAAATTATCAAAAAACCCCTTTGTTTAGAATTAGAAGACATTTTACCTGTAAGTTAATCTTTTCATTGTTTGTATAATCGAGTATTAAATGACCATATTCTAATCTTTTGAAATATGTATAAATTGTGTATTGACAAAACCAATTTTAAAGTAAGCTATTTAGTTTGTCTCTGAAACAGAAATTAGGCTTTTCCAAAATCATGGTAAACACAATTTGAGCTTTTGATTGGACGGTCGTTTTTTGAATGGGAATTTGTGAGCCGATTAGGAGGACCGGAGAAGTTAGTTATAATTTGGTCATCGAAGGAAACAGTCGTTTGTCTCAAGATAGGGTGTGGTTCGTGAGTTGGATACTGGCATTGTGAAAAGAATTGAATAGTTTTGCAGAAGGAGATAACAAGTAGATTAAAAGAGGTCCTTGTACCTACCGTGGGCAATTTGTGAAGATATGTGAAAGTAGTTTTACGGCATCAAGTTGACAAAAGGAAGTCCTTGTGTCATTAATAAGTAGCTGAGTTTTTGGAGAAGTGAATCAGGTGTTTTTGGTTAGTGCAGGAGGTTTGCAGAGACGTTAGGAAGGAGCCGAGGTGCCAAAAAGGAGAGATCACATCGTTGAGGAGACTGGACTTTTCTGGGTATGTTCCAACATACAATTCAATAAGAAAATAAGCTGTAAGTGTTTTGTACAATTGAAATTAATATCTGTGAAGGGTCTGTGTTGACATCATGGTCATTAGCATTCAAATTTAAGAACTGAGGTTTGTTAGACTAATCAAAAGTTTAAGTTTTGTTGTTTTTTTTTTCAAGTAAAGGAAAATTTAAGTAAAATTGGTTTTCACTGAATATAAATTTATGTAGATTTAAAATCTTATTATTATAAAATTTTCATTTATTTTCTTGTAAGCTGATTGATAAGATAACGGCAGAATTTGATAATTGTTTTATTCGTTCATATAAAAAAAAAAATACGTAATTTTTGTAATATAATATTTTGTTTTATTTTACATTTGATAAACATTAAGTTACATATTTTGATTGGCTCGATAAATTAAAATCAAAGTAAAAAGAAACAATCGTAACGATATATATATATATATATATATATATATATATATATATATATATATATATATATATATATATATATATATATATATATTGCAGTTTCAGTTTTTTATTATAAATGCGTTTAGAAAACGTTAAAAATGCACTAATTTTCTATTAATAACATTTATATTACTTGTTCGAAATATAACAAAACGAACCTCGTATATAATGATGGCTCTTAGATAGGGCAATAAGTTTCCAAACCAAATACTTCTTGGAATTCCAGTGATTCTTCGATTGTAATAAATCAGACCAAAACTAAAATTGCTGGTTAATCTAGGGGGATTTTTGCGAAGGAGTCATTGCATTTTCTACACAAATGAGAAACATATTACGCAATATTAAGGTTTCTTAGGATCAAACTTGTTTTATTTATAAATAAAACAAGTCAAATTAAGAATAAAAGTTGAATGAATCAAAACATAATGTGCTGTATAACTAAGAATAATATTTAGTTATGAATATTGATATTATTATTAAATATAATATAAATATAAGAAATATTTAATTATAAACAAATTTTTGCGAAATAAAATAAATGATTACAATAATATTGTACCTACTTGGTTAAATATTATATTCTTTAAAACCGCAATCACATAATAAATCAGCTGATATTATCAGTTCGCTTTAAGTTTTTTTTTAACTTAGCGATCATAATTTTACAAAAAAAATTATTTATGATATAGTAGTGATAGTTAGAGTGCTCGTCGGTAAAAAAGTTTATGATAGATAGATAAGGC